ACCCCTGCTGAAGGATGGGAACTCTTCGAAGGACTGGCTGGCCAGAAGAGGGTTGGCCCCAACCCCCTCTTCCTCCAACCTAGTCCAGTCTGTCTTGGCAGTGCAGCCAAATTGGGTGCTTTGTGCTGGAGTGCAGAGCCACAGCAAACTATGGCAAGTTCTTAAAGAAATGGGAGTGCCTGACCACCTTATCTATCTCCTGAGAAACTGGGCGACATCCTGCTTTCAGGGGGGGGGAGAGGAAAGTACACATGACCACCCCTTCCCTTTAGAGGGATCTTGTACCCTATCCCAGAAATATTTATCCTGTTTCCCTGAAAATAAGCCCTAGCATGATTTTTCAGGATGCTCATAATATTAGCCCTACTCCAAAAATAAGCCCCAGTTCAGTTAAACCCCGCTCTCCACCCTTGTGCAGCAACCAGAAGAAGATGACATGACTGTAAAATAAAGCATCCCCGAAAATAATCCCTAATGTGTTTTTTGGAGCAAAAATTAATATAAGACCTGGTCTTATTTTCAGGGAAACATAGTACTAACTGTACTTTATTTTATAACTTTGCTGTGGCGATCAGAATTGTTCTTCAAGGATCCACAGGTCTGTCTTTCTGGGCTTGTTGAGTTGCCGATGGCATAGCTGCTCCTTCTTCAGGGACTCCCTCTCTCCTTCTTTTTATATCCCATTTCCTGTGCTCCAAACATACATCAGGTGCCAAGGACAACGCTGTGTGCCCGGGCCATGTGGGTGTGTGAAGATACTGTGTGTGTGTGTGTGTGACTTGCTCAGACTGTCCTCCAGCCTGGTCTGATTTCTTGGAAACCACCTGATTTTTCTTGCTGCTCTCCAGCAGGGAGCAGTCGAGGATCAGCAGTGAGGAAAAAAAATCAAGTTTATAATTAGAAAGAAATGCAGAGTGGGGGAGCAGGAATGGTTACTGAAGGGAAACCTTCTCTCCCTCTGTCACAGCTCCTTCTCGCCCCATATTTGACTATAAAGGTAATGAATTCTGCTGCCTTGAGAGAGAGCCGAAAGCTTGATCTCTAATTTAGCAATTTCCTCTTGAAGATGATTACTTTATAAGCACTAGGAGTTGCACTTCAATTTTTTTTTAAATGTCAAAGCATGAAAACTATAATTTTAAAAGTGCTTGCAGCAGGAGAAAAAGATGGAGAGAGAAAATCCAGGAGCAGGCTCAGCTCTACTGGGGACACCTCTGAGTACTGTACTTTGATGGCTGGATTCCGGTGTTGTTTTGGTGGCCAAGAGGGCACCCTAGAGCATGGGCAAAGTTCTCTTGGGGAACCGGCCCTGCACAAGCGACCAAGATAGAGTGCCCTTGGTGAGGCTCCCAGATGTAAATGGAACTGCATGCAGCAAATTATAAGAAACTGAGAAAGATCTGGGTTGAAGTCTTCCCCTCAGCCGTGACGCACACTGTCTTTTGGTGACATGTCTCATCTTGATCGACTTCACAGGGTTGTTGTAGGAGTGGGATGAAAGTAAATTCTGTCCAGAAACTTGGATGTAGAAAAGGACATAAAATGTATATGTGAATTCATCTAAAATATATATAAAAATCCCTATTGTGGATGTGTTCGCAGAAATTAAAAGAATCTTAAAAGACAAATGGGTGTTTGTCTGCTTTTAAGCAGGAAATCCAGAATCACGGCTTCTGCCAGAAACGAGAAGAAGCACCTGTCACCACAACCACACAAGATGTGGCTCTTTTTCTCCCCTCACAACCCCGTACTTCAAGGGAATTAGGTTGGTGGGTGGGTGTTTGATGCACTTGCCCTCAACACACATGAGGGAGGAAACGTCGCTGGTGGGTTGCTTCCTGCCTGGCCCAGGGTGCCTTTTTTTCTGCAGGGACGCTGGACTCACCAGGTGGCTAGTGAGGGGAGGCAAAGCATCCTCTCTTGGGCAGATGTTTTCTCAGTCGTTCCCAAGGCCATGCAGCTTTTGGTTTCTGTCTTCGTCTCTTATGGACTTTGCCCAAAGCAAGCCTCTGGATCAGAACAGAAGCGTTCTGGGGAGAAATGTGGTTGGAACAGAAGCCATTTTATGCCGGTCCAGCTGGGCAGAAAGAAGAGGACCCAAAATGGTGGCACCATGTGAAGACAGACATGGGCATCGCTGGTGACAGCATCACAACTACTCGCTACAAACATCCTGGCCATGGCTGGAGCAATCAGGTGTTTACAATTTGTTGAAATGCAAAGAGGGTTTAATCCAGAAGTTGCATTTCCCCCTCCAAATCAGCTTTTAATTCTGAGGCCAGAGTTTTGCCAGAGGAAATTATTTTTGTCTATAAAGAAGACTCTATAGGAAGCTGGCTTATTAATAAAAATACAGACCTTTACAAAAAACCAACCTTGGTCCTTATTTGAGGCTTCCGTACATCTTGTGTCCTGCCTGCTTCCCTCTTTGCCAGAGGCAGAAGGGGTCCATGGGGATGCCTGGATGCCCGCTTCCCTGGCCGCATGCATGTATGCATGCATAAACAAGAGGCGCTTTGGACCCGCATCTGCCAACACTGGGGGCTCGGCTTTCTGCGCTGCCAACCCCACAGGGTGCCACCTACCCATGGAGACCCCTCTTCTTGGTCCAGTGTTGGAGGAAATGCTGTCCTTTCCCTGCCTCAATTAAGAGAAGTGGTACTATCTCCATGTTGTTTTGAATTACAAACTTTGTGGTGCCTCTTAGGGCTGCCCCTAAACCACCCGAAAGCCCATCTCTGCAGGGCTGGAAAGAGTCTAAAGAGGTCCTGGTGGAGGGTCAGCAAAGGATCACGGAGGGGGTGTGGAGGTTTCCAGAAAAGTGACAGATGGGGGGATAGCTTTAAAAAAACACACGACAATCCAGCTGGAGAAGGAGAAGCTAGCCAGCTGCCAGATCCATCTCTCTGATAGCTGTAGGGCAGGAAAGACAAGCAGTTCAGTGCAGGCAATGAATGTTGGCGAGGGCGTTGGATGGAGGGGTTAAGGGCGTTGTTTTGCCATCCCTGAGCTATTCCTTGTGTCTTGGTCCCAGGCCAAGCCTCATGGTGACTTTCAGTTTCAGCCTTGGCTGCCTGGTTTCTCCCACAATAACATTCTGCTCTGAAGGGAGGGAAATGACAAGGTATGTAGAGGCTCTCTCTCCCTGCCTTCCGGAAAGGGAAGCCATTTTGTGCAGGCTGGCTCTGTCACGCAGACCAGAGAGACACAAAATGGCGACCCTCCCCTTTCAAGCCACTGACTCCATCCATCAGTCCTGTCTCCAACTGTTCAAGCTTCACAGCCTAGCAAAGTACAGGAATTAAGTTCAGGGGAGCTGATTTCTTTTAAAAGGGAACAGGGTCCCCGCAACTTGAATAACTGCTTTGAAATAGGCATTTCACCAGATGCAACTTTGAATGCAAGCAGCATTAAAGTTATTTAAAAGGTACTAACATTCTATCTATCTATCTATCTATCTATCTATCTATCTATCTATCTATCTATCTATCTATCTATCTATCTATCTATCTATCTATCTATCTATCTATCTATCTATCTTACAAGATTTTTTAAGCCACACCATTACCAGTGGTCTCTGAGCAGCAGTGAATGCAGGAATCCTGTTTTTTTTTTCATTTGGTCACCTTAAATTACAAAGAACATGCTTGTCAGAAGTTACCTGTTTGTATAAGGAAGGCCTGACAAAATTACATTTCCAAAGGAAGATGACAAGGAGAAATGAATTGATTGCACCTGTAATGAAGAAAATATTTTTGTTTCTTTAGAAGTTATTTTTAAAGGTTATTTTTTGCAGGCATCTTGACAGGAATTTCTCAGACTTTATGTCATTCTCTTGTCACAGATGCCTCCCCAAAATTAAGAAGTAATATATACTAGAAGTAGCATACTGGTGGGACCAGACCACAACATGCTGGACAGCCTTTTTCAGGTTTTTCATGTTTATATGAAATCGTACGGGGAATCCAGGAACCCTGAGAGACGCCACAGGCCAAGCAAGGGTCAAGGGGTTGAGCAGGATGTTTCCCCAGCACCACCGCCATGAACCAAGTGGCACCATGCAGGGGGAAGTCCCGGAAGCTGCCCCCCTTTTTAAAAAATCCGGTCACCACTTCTCACCCTATCTTATGAACCCTGATGGCCTGTGTGGTGGTTCTTGACGGCCAGGAGGAGAAAACACTGGAAAGGCAGCATCGCTTTTGAGTCGGAATTAATGGGAGGCGCAGAAATGTATGTACTGGAACCGGGCGCCAAAGCCATAGATCTCCACTGGTGCCTCTTCTTTGCCTTGATCTGAGGCCTCCTTCACTCTGGACAGAGACCACCTTCTCAGGGGGAGGGAGGTGCACCGGGGCCTCTCCCCACAGATCTCTGTTTCCCAACCATTAAAGCAACCCTGCATTGCACTCTTGGCTTCCAAAAACCACCCCTGACGACCCCCTTCTTGGCACAGAAAAATAATGACGTGCCGTTACTCTTCCCACCGTTTCCCCACTGCGGGGACAGAACAACCCTCGGGAAACGAAGCATTCCTTTTCCAGCCACCGTTTATTTTTGAAATGGGAAGCTTAATGGGTCGGAGACCGCAAAATAAAGACTGATTGATTGACTGGCTGATTAAATAGGAAGCGCTGCTCTCCCACGTCGGGCACCGGAGGCGACGCAGGTCCTTCGCCACGCCAAAGCCCATCCTCCCCCGCTGGGCGCCCACACACCTCCCTCCGTCCCCCTGCATCGCCAGGCACAAGACCCCCCACTTTCCCTTCCCTTCCCCCTCGACCCCCGGGGGGGCCCCCTCGTCCCTTCCTCCCCTCCGCACAAACGCCGTTCCCTCCCTCCAAGCGGAGCCCCTTCGCGGGGATTCCCGGAAAACCCCCAACTTTCTCTTTCCCTTTCCAGCTTTCAGCCGCTCGCTGGCGGTGGGGCTTCTGGGTAGCAACTACTGACGAATTCCTAACTCTTTTAGCCTATTGGTCTAGCGTTTTCCCTTCCACCAATCCTGGCAGTTCCGTCTGAAATAGGGAAGAGGTCAGGCGACGGTTGCGAGCGAGCGTTCAGTATGGCTCCGGATTAAAAACTTAAACCCAACGGAAAAAGTACGAGGTTCGTCCTTGAGAATGAAATGAGGCCGCCGGCCTTGCTCCTGCTGTTCCTCCTCTTGGGGGACTGCGAGGGTGAGAAACGTGGGAAAGTTTTCAAGGGCTGTTGGTCTCATGGGCTGAAAAGAAAACATCACTTTTCTTTGACTTTGGAGCGACTTCTCCTCCCCGAAGTGGTGTGGGCGTAGTATTAGATAGCTGAACAGAGGGACGCCCCCTTTCCCCTTCTCGGGATGATGAGGGTCGTCAGGACGAGGCAGCATCCCCTGCGTCCAGGTGTGACGTCAGGTGACGTTCAGGTGCAGAATAAAGGAAAAGATGATGAGCAAAGAGGGGCAGAATTGGGGAGAGAGGGAATACAGTACGTTTATGTTTCTCTGTGCAGTGCCTGCCTTTCCTTTGGCGCAGCAGGAGGGGCCTGATTAGACTCGGGGGCTGGGAGGGGTTCCTTTTTATGCTTAAAAAACCCAAAACTTCTCCCGACCTTCCCAAATCCCCCCCAAGAGCAGATCTTGCTGCATTAGGTAAGATCAAAGGACTTGGGTAAGGTAGAAAAGGGCTTTGGGTGGAAGGGGGGATGCTTGAAATCAACACCAGGTACTCTTGGTTTCCTTGGATCTGACAGGGAACCAGGCCCTCCTCAATATTTAGCAAGATGAGGGCTTTCAGTCTGATCTTGCCCCCTTCTGCGTGGTTGAAGGACATGGACCCCGAGAGAAGTTTGGAAAGAGAAGACCAGAAATGGGGCTGCCTTGGAGGTGTCCCCACATCTGTGGAACCCCCTTCCACCTGAGATTTGCCTGGAGGGTCCCGTCGTTGATAACTTTTAAGAGACTCGGGAAAACCTGGTGATTTAGTCCGGTCTTCCGAAATACTCCACTGATAGAATGCAGGGTTTCTTCCAGCTCCTCAGTTACCAATCCTGCCTTTTTGAGTACCTTTATTAAAGTCTTTTGTGTTGTATTTCCTAGTTTAATTTTTAAGACATTGTCATTGTCTCTCTTTTTTTTTTTTAACTTTTATTGCAATGTCTGTGTTTTTATTATTTAATGTTATTATTGGTTTGGAAACCACCCAGAGTCAGCTTTGCAGCCAGATTGGCAATATAGAAGTTAAAGCAATAAATTTGAATCACACATACCATCTGCCAACAGAGTGAGGCACGGGGGGGTGTTTGACATTGTTGTGGCAAAACACCATGGATTTGAGGTATAGATTTATCATTTTGCAGTGTTGCAAAAACACCAGATGTAGTCATGCTATTCATCACACACAAGTGTGCCTTCTGCATTGGTGATGGTTTCAGGTTTATCCCCTGTAAAAACCATGCTGTCTCAAGATGACCTGCTTTTAATATTTATTATTTTTTATTTATTTTTATTTATTTTATTTATATCCCGCCTATCTAGTCGCGAGGACTACTCTAGGCGGCTTACAGCAACGTTAAAATACAATAAGAATTGCCAACAAAAGTCCGAATATTCAAAGCTATGGTTATTCCAGTAGCAATTTATGGAAGTGACAGCTGGACCATAAAGAAAGCTGAGTGCCGAAGAATTGATGCTTTTGAATTGTGGTGCTGGATGAGGCTCTTGAGAGTCCCCTGGACTGCAAGG